AAAAAAAAAAAAGTCTCACTTTTACCATTCCCTCATTAGAAAATGAAATGCTAAATCCATAGCATAAACTATTTTGTGCCTTTAATAAGGAATTATATACAACTAACCATCTGAAAGAAAGCACATACCTAAGATAGGCCTGGAAGGATCTGAATATGAATATAAGAACAAACTTCCTCCTGGAAGCCTCCTGCATTGAGTCTGGCTCACAGTTTTCCCATCTCCCTCAAACCCACTTCCTGCCTTTTACACTTGAAGGCCTTGGCCTCACTGTTCCACAAATCATAGATACAGAGAACCTTCAACTTTATAATGTAGTCACCCAGAAAAGAAGCGTGCAAATGGTCCTGAGTTCAACTCTGGTACCACACACACACACACACACACAMAAAAAAAAAAAATCAAAGCATGAAAGTGTTTGATTTTATAACACAGTGAAGTGCTTACAGTTTTCTGTGACACTACATCCCTCTGCCACACCTTACTTTCCATTCTTGCCTCAAATGCAACAGCACAAGGAATCATCTAAAAGCAGGGTACCTGTGATGCTCTAAACCCTCAGTCCCTCCTGGGTACTTAGGATGCCAGCACCTCCACCTCCCCTCTCAGTGCATTCAATACTTCATAGGATATCAAGCCCCTGGTCTTTCTGGATAAGTCATATTACTACCCACTTTTTCTATCTCTAAAACAAGTGAATTAACCAGGCTGAATGGCTATAAAACAGTGTTGCATGGACTATTTCACTGCTTAGCCATCAATCTTTTTTATTTTTTATGTGGTGCTAAGGATGGAACCCAGGGCCTCACACGTGCGAGGCAAGCGAGGCCAGTGCTCTACCGCTGAACCACACCCCCCCCTTTCATTCTTATCAAATGATCACATCTCCTACTTTACTGAAAAAGCATCTAATGTAAGCTCTCAAATAAATACTCTTTTCTACCCTGACATCTGTTTACATTCACCTATTCTCTTTTATTTTGATTCCAAGTATTTTCTCCTACGGTAGTACAACTCATCTATAGTCTTAATTCTACTATATGATCCTCCAGACTTCCTCCTCTCAATTATCTTTTTTCCATTGCATCCTCCCTTCACCACAGGTCTTTCTCCCATCTAAAAATGAGACTTTGGGCTGGGGATGTGGCTCAAGCGGTAGCGCGCTCGCCTGGCATGCGTGCGGCCCGGGTTTGATCCTCAGCACCACATACMAACAAAGATGTTGTGTCCGCCAATAACTAAAAGAAATAAATATTAAAAAAAATTTTCTCTCTCCCCCTCTCCTCTCTCTTTAGAAAAAAAATAAAAATAAAAAATGAGACTTCCTATTCTTCACCAAAACTTTTTTTTGAAAAAGGTCTGTATTCCACTCTCTACTTTCTCGTCTCCCCATCTACGTCACATGGTCCACTGTAGTTTGGCTTTTCCTTCCCAAACAACCAAGGTCAGAGATGGCTTAATACTGGACAGTTCCCTCCTGGCCTCTCTCTCTTTAATCCTCTGACATACGTGATACTGCTCTTTCCTGTAGAAATTCTCTTCCCCCATACTTTCAAACACCTACTCCTCTTTTCTTTAGCCTGAATTCAAATGTATCCTCCAAAGTTCTCTCTCTCCGCTTTTTGATGATGAGGTTCTGAGCACACTATTCTTCACWGATCCACAATAATGGTAATTATTCCAAGTCTCCATTTATAGGCTTGAGCTTCAGACAAGTATTTCCAACACCCTATTTTGATACAGTAGGGGTACATCTCAAAATGGTCACAAAACTCAATATTATCTCCTGCCTGTTACTCTAAAATTGCTCCTTGTACCTACTTTATGATGGCATCTTTGGCATCTGAGCTAAAAAATCTGGCACCTCTTTGAAACCTCCTACTTTCCTACATATAGAATTAACTTCTAAATTCTATAGGAGTTCTTCTCACCTGCTCTGACATGTAGACTACATCACATCTCTCACTTTGATCAACACTGATGGTTTCCTGCTGTCTAGAGAACAAGCCGCTCCCTGTCTCTTCTGTCCTACAACATCTAGCTTTTCATAAAACTTTGGCCAAAATGGACATTTTTTTCTTATTGCCCTATAGACCTTACCTGCATATTTCCTATCTGTATTCTGCTCATTCCTCAAAATCCAGCTCTTTTATTATGATAGCAGCACTTCCTAAAATATAATTAATCTCACCTGTCTCAGATTTTCAGGGCACTATTTTTTTGTGTGTGTGTGGTTCTAGGGAAACCCACTAAAATATATCCCTAGCCCTTTTTATTTTAAGATAATCTCCTAAATTGCCCAGGTTGGCCTTGAACTTTCTTTATTCCTCCCTTAGCCTTTAGTAGCTGGGATTACAGGTGTGTACCACCACACTCAGTTACAGGTACTTTTTTATTTTTATTACTTTTAAATATATTTTTTTTTAGTTTTAGATGGACATAATRTCTTTATTTTATTTTATTTTTTATGTGGTGCTGAGGATCGAACCCAGACATGCCAGACRAGTGCCCTACCACTTGAGCCACATCCCGAGCCCCCAGGATACTTTTTATTTTTTAATTTATTTAAWTTTTTTGTGGTACTGGGGATTGAACCAAGGGGTGCTTATACCAGCCCTTTTTATTGTTTGAGTCAGGGTCTTGCTAAGTTGCTGAGACTGTTCTCAATCTTGCAATCCTCCTGCTTTGGTCTCCACAGTAGCAGAGCATGTGCCACCACACCTGGATGCCTGCAGGGTACTTTTCAAAAACTGCTACTAGTGCACATATCATGTTCTGTTTCCTGTTAGATACTTGGATAAACATCTTTCTCCTATTAAGTGTTAATTAATTAACCTTAAATTTTAATGATTAAAAAGGAATATTTATTATTCACTTTTGCTTTTTGTATGATTTTTATGTGTGATAGACAATGAGGGATTTGTGGAATTTTAGTGAATAAACGTTTGAAGACTTGCTAACCTAAGATTTAAGCTGAACTCATTAACTCTTTTAAGTCCCCAAGTGTCAAATGTTATTGATCTTAAAAATATCATCTAAAGAAGTTGCAACTATGACTCTGATCACTGTTTCCAGATACCTACCTGTTGACATGAACAGTGCATCATGCCTTCATAGATTTTGAAAGTTACATTTGCTGGATTTACCAAAGTCTTTAGTTTTTCAACAGTAAGAGAACCAAACATTAGCGGAACTAAAGGATCACAATCTCCATGGCACTGAAGAATAGATATCTCTCTATTAGGGCCACTGATGGGATTCTGCAGAACAGAATAAAAGTACCAGTTAGTCACATGTATAAAGCATTATGCCAGATACTTAAAACTGTACACAGAGTAATAACAGACAACATGTTATTACTTATTATTTCAGGTGATATTTGGCCAAAGAAATAAAATTTCCTTCCTTTCTTTTCCATGTCCCTTTATTTAAAATTCTATAGAATGATTGCCTTGTTTTATACCACATCTTCCCAACGAACCCATTTCTTGAAATCTATTACATCTTAATTCATTTCTATATTTTCAGTTCTTGATATGAGAAGTAATTAATATCTATTAGGATATATTAGGTTAATCATGTTCTTTTTCAGCTTTTATTTAATTGACTTTAATAAGCAGTAATAAACAATGCCGAGTAAGTGCAAGAAAYCAAAGAGTTATTAAATAATAATAAGACAAAACCCTAGATTTAAAAATAAATTTGGGGCTGGGAAAATAACTCAGTGGTCATGTGCTTGCTATGCACAAGGACTTGTGTTTGACCCCCAGCACCAACACCCCGCCCAAAAAGAAAAAGAATTTGAAAATAATGTCTACATTTCCCATGTGTCTTATATATTGCTTCACTGTTGAATATTTAGAAATTATATTCTGTAGTAAAATTCTGCTATCAAACCCTGAATATATTAAATACTAAAAAATAGTTCTGTGTGTTTAAAAAATAGCCCTAATTTCCATATACCCCTTAAAATATAAAATATAAATCAAATAAAAGATTTATGACCTAAGGCTTATTTCTTATTCCATTCTATGCAATCCACAATAAAGACAATAGAGTGTATAGGTAAAGCCTAGTAACACTTTACAAAGGCCCAAGGAAATTCTTTTTAAAAAAGGACGACTGAGCCAAGCATGGTGACACATCTGTAATCCCAGTCACTGGGAGGCCGAGGCAGCCCCAGCAACTCAGCGAAGCCCTAGGCAACTTAGTGAGACCCTGTCTCAAAATAAAAAATAAAAAAGTGCTGGGAACATGGTTCAGTAGTTAAGCACCCCTGGGATCAGTCCCTGGTAATGTAAAAAAATACAGTAAGATAAAATAAATAAAATAAAATTTAAAAAGGATGACTGATATAAACCATGTAGAAATGATGTCTCACTTAGGTCTACTGATTTTAAGGAAGGTCCCACTGTGGTGTGGGATTTCCACAATGGGAAGTTTACTTTCTGTTCAATTTTGCTATAAACCAAAAATAAAGTTTCTTGATTTAAATAAAAAGGATGACCTCCTCAACATTATCTGCTACCTCTTAGCTCAGAAATCGAAACCAGGCTACCTGTGGGAATGAAGCCCGGAGTGGAAGCCAACAACTGAGTGCAGTGACACCTGCCAGTTTCTGCTGTGTGGTGAGAGCAGTGTACAAAGACAAGGCTCCTCCCTGGAAAGCAAGCAGGGAAAGTCAATGGAAAATCCACACTCTGCCAATAGCAATGTAGGAAATTTCTTGTTATTAATGACGTCCATGAAGATATCAACTGAGTGGCCAATGTCAAATCAAATCAGACAAACAGTGGGAATGCWTACCCATATTGCACACAGCTCTCTACACCAAAGAGAACATACCAACTACCCAGTCAAGACACAGACAATAAATAGTATAGTAAACTGTTTACAGCATGCCTTAGGAATATTCTGAACTTAGTTATCATCTTCTCTTTCGAGAAGTCTTAGGCCTAAAATCCAATCTTGTCTTAAATTAGTACTATTTTCTAAAAGTGGAAATCAAGATAACAAGGACAGCGTAGCAGACATCTTTAGAGTATCTGCCCACCCAGTTCAAAACATCCCATGTCCTGGGAACTATAATCCTGCAGCCATCTAGATGCCTATCACTCTGATTGTGCCCATACGCCACTGCTAGGGCCATCCCAGACACTGATGGTTGTTTTCCCCGGAACTGTGGAACTGGGATTCAGTGACTGTAGGCAGCCTCTTTGTGTGGCTGGAACTGTAACATGTAAATTCAAGAGCTGAAAAATTACAAGCTGCAAGAACTAAGATGGACAACAAATGATGGAGAAGCAAATGAGGCAAGTGAGCTGACAAAGAAAGCTGAAGATGGAGAGAAAAGTCCTGATGGCTTTCCAGGTTCCCGCTACTTCCTGAGTCCATACTTTATTTTTAGGCATGGTCTCCCTGTTACGATACTACAGACTCTTAACTTAATCCTTCTTGCTTAAACTCATGATGTTCCATCATTCCACACATAGGTATTAGGGATTGTTTTCTGTAGGCTGTTATCAATAAATCTCAAATAGACAAGACTCCTAGGTACACTTCATATTTTGAATCAAGCATTAATTTTTGTGTCTTATGTTTCTGTCAAGATGTGTATTATGCACATTATTTCAACAAACACCTTATAAGTAACTCCTTTTTACTGTATTGTATCAACAATATTATGTTTATACTGAATTCTATTCTCTAAATAATTCTAGAATTCTGACATTAGCCTAAGTAAGGGAACACTCAGTTGCTGACTTAGAAGATTTGTAGATTAGAAGCTAGAGCATTCTAGGACAGGTGATATGGAAACAGGTGAAAAGCTGAAGTAAAGACATGAGGCCAACACAAGGGAACCATGGCTGTTAAAAAACTACAAGGCGGAGAAAAAGTAAAGACAGGAAGAAAGATACCAAAATAAACTTTACACATTTATATTTAAAACCTATTTTTATATAACAAAAAAGGGAAAGACATTATTTTTCTCTCATCATCTACCTATTGTTTCTAGTCCAAGTCACCTAGAACAAGGGACTTATGCCTGTGTTATCAGAGTTCTAATTAATTAAAAGGGTACATAGTGTTAACTTAAAAGCCTAACCACAGTGGTGTTATTGTTATTTTAAGAAAATACATTTCAGGTTTCAATCAGTTTCCTTAATAAATTGATTCTGAAGATAATCTAAAAGACAAAGGTTATTGTTAAGGGCACAGAAAACTAGGAAAGCAAAAATGTATCTAAAGTGAAAATTAACTAGTTTTAATCCAAACTTAATTCAGCATTAACATCCATCAAGATTCTATAATTCTTCCATAGAAAATGACTGAAATCTCAGATTTCTAGATAAATATACTGATGGTACTGACATACCACCCAAACTTTAACTTACCTGAGAAAATCCTCCCAAAATAATTCTGTTAGATGGAATGCCATTCTTCACTTCTTGATCTATCAAAGCTTTTACTAAAAACAAGAAAGTTAATCACAAATGCTTTCAAAGTTAAGCCCAGAGATGCAATATAAAATAGGAAAAAAAATAGAAGAAAAGCACTAAGTATATTCAAGGTGAAAATGAGTGAAAAACCTGAAGCACTCAATTAAAACACAAAATCAGAATGTCTTTTCGTTATGAAACTTCTCAGATTTTGCAAGTGCTGTATAACTTAAAATTTCAACAATTTCTTGTCACTTTGTAATACTCTTTCTTCATTGAGAGGTGGATATTCTTGCCCAGTATGGTGGTACACTCTTATAATCCCAGCCACTTAGGGGGCTGAGGCAGAAGGACTCCAAGTTGAAGGCCAACCTGAACACAACTTAGTGAGACCATGTCTCAAAATAAAATAAGGGCTGGGGTACTGCTCAGTGGCAGAGCACTTGCCTAGCATGCACGAGGCCCAGGATTTAACAGGGGGTGTATGCATATGTTTTAATTCATGGTTAATTCTGCTCATGTACACTTTATATTTCTCTTTAAAAAAAAAAACTATAGGGCATTTATACCTAAAAGTCTTCATTTTAAAATAGCATATAGTTGGGTTTTTTTTCTCCCAGAGTTGAGGAGTAAGCCCATGACCTCACACATGCTAGGCAAGCATTCTACCACTGAGCTACATTCTCAGTCCTTTTTTAAAAACAAATATCATTATTGTATTTTGAGCCAGAGTCTCACCAAATTGCCTAGGCTGGCCTGAAACTTGGGATCTTCCTGACTTGGCCTCCTGAGTTTCTGGGATTACAGGTGTGTGCCACTGTGACACCTGAGTTAAATAGCATATGGGATTGCATGTTTTCTGATTTACAGTTTTTAAAACTGTTCATTCTAATTCTTAAAAGTATCAGTAAAATTTTCCTATAGTCAGTAAATAATTGATGAGGGAAGAATTTCAAATAAGTACTTTTGTTTCTACAACATACCTTGACATGCACCATACAAATATAAGTACTTAACAACTCCTGGAATTTTCTTTTTCCTTATTATCAATCTTGTGTTTCATGGATAACTTGACATTTTACAAATCTGTCTGATGTTTTACATACATACATTCTTTCATGTTTTTAAAAAATTAGAATCTCCGATTTTATATTTCCTTTTTTATCAAAAACAAAAAACTCTTGTATTGCCATCTATCCTAGCTGACRACCTAATGCTGGGTTCACAAAATCTGACTATTCCAATAACTTAAGAAAACGACAAAGAAAGCATGCAAACACACAGAGATATCTTTTCAAAATCTCTGACGGCTCTCCGACCTTAAGGATCCATGGAAAGAGAGCAAGCCACTGGAATTCTTTATTCTTATATAGGGGACACACAAGGGGAGTTTCCATGGAACATTCTATCCCAACAAGGGCAAAGGGAWAGGATTACAAAGGAACGGATAAGTGTAACTCAACCCCAGTGGGTGACGCCTACTCCTAGAGCCACGCCTTGTTATCTGAACTGGGGTGACGCCCAAATTAGTGCAACCTGGCGCTACCATGTCAGATTGAGGCAATAATTGTTCAGAACCCCAGTGCATCAGGACTTAAAGGCGTCTGCATGCAGGGCAGCTCCCAACAACTCTGCTTTTATTAAAATACCAAAAAATGTCCAAATTAAAAGTTATTTTTGATTTACGTAAAATTTAGTTCTTTAGTTAGAATTAGTATAAAAAAAGCAAGGGTACTCTAACTATTTTGAAAAGCACAGTATAATGTGTTAGACACCAGGAAAGGAGGCTTAAGGAACTGTTAAGAAGTATGAAGGACTGATTAGGGGGAAACCGCACAGCCGCAGCTGGAGATCAAAAGATGCCGAAGGGGCAAAAACAGCCCAGCTTCCAGGAGAGTGGRGGCAGAGGGCAGCAGAGGCTGGGCTCAAGGAACATTACTGCCAGTCAGTCAGGAAGCACTTGAGAGTTTTCCCTCAGTTTCACAACGCTCAGCTCCTTATAGTTATACCCAGTGGTTGAGGTAAAGGCCTCTGGACAAGGCACAATGACAGCAGTCAGCTGTGGAGAGGCAGGTTTTCATTTCAATGACCTTCACCCTAAGGGCAGGAGCAGTAGAATCTCAATGGAGCACTCTGCTTTTTTCAGTAGCACATTCTCTCTGCCTTTTTTCCCCTAACTGGTCGCTTGGAAAGGAAAGCAGTGACAAGTATTTCATGGGCCAACTCCACTGTCAAGACAGTATTTCTCTCATTCTGGAAATCATGAGGCCCACCTGTCTTTTCCACAGGGCCTACTCAGCCCCTCCTGGTTTTCCACAGGGTCCAACACTTACTCAATATCTAGATATATATTTTTATTATCTGTTATTTTTAGACAAAAATGTTAACTCTAGTATAGCTTTGATCTACTTCTGATGATCTAATAAAAGTCAGTATTCATTGGATTTTCACAAACATCCAATGTTTTTTGAATGTATTTTCTCTTTCTTTCTTTTTCTTTTTTTTTTAGAGAGAGAATTTTTTAATATTTTTTTAGTATTCAGCGGGCACAACATCTTTGTTTGTATGTGGCGCTGAGGATCGAACCCAAGCAGCACGAATGCCAAGCGAGCTTGCTAYCGCTTGAGCCACATCTCCAGTCCCTATTTTTTCTTTCTTAAAGATCATAACAGTTCTTTAAAAAAGATTAAAGGCTCTTACTAGGCTTGGGTTTTTAAGTCTGTTTTTAAAAATKTCAACAACTACAAAAGTATGAAGAGTAATGAAATAATTCCTTGGGATCCTTCCTTTGATCATTCTAYATTACCTTAATTCTCTAATTATCAATTCACAGTCACAATTGTTTTGCTGATGCCACCATCCAGGAGCCACTACCCAGATTATTCTGAAGTCAATCCTAATCATTACATTGTTCTATCTGTAAATAATTCGGTTCATACATGTAAAAGGAAAGGATGCGTCTGTGCACTTTTACAAACTATCAAACTTTCAGTAAGTTAATGTTCTTATGCTTTCACCACAAAATAAGCTGAGTTATGTTCATAAAGGAGAATGCAATACTACCCCTAAAATTGACTTTGGAGATTCTGTAAAGTTTAGCTAATACTTGCACAAAAGCGTTAAGTGAAGACAATTTACAAGAGAAATACCTAGTTTATAAATAGCTAATTAATTCATGATATATATTGACACTAACATTAAACTTTAATATCATTTTCATTTTTTATTAACCTTATATCATTATGTTCTGTACATCATTATTTTTATCATATTTCATATCTCCTTAATGAAGATAACTAGCCACAACCTACTAAACTCTGTTCTATTTTCTCCATTTGCCTATTCTGTGAATCAAAGCAAAATTCTTACATATCTGACAGAGCTGAAGCTGACAAATGCTTCCTCCCCATCCACCTCACCTCCATCAACCACAGCAGAGTCCATGTAGACATGGTGGCAAACCAGTCAGAGTGATCRGAAAGGAAGGAAACAGCACAACCTCCTGAGATCATATAGCTGGGTCATATCTAATCAGTATCAATGTAATTACTCAGTCAACTAAAAGCATTTAGAGATGCCTTTGGCTGTTACAAAAAATTTTCTATACTTACCATTTTCTGCCGCTTGTTTAATTCCAGGTTCATCCTCCTGAGCATCTGGTGAAAGTCCAATGATATCAAACCTAGAAAATGAGGCCAAACCTTGAAAGAACCATTCGATTCTGAAAACGTCTATTCTTGGCAAGGATGTTTTATTAAATTCACGGCAGTGTGTATAAAAAGCACTGACCAAAGATCACTCTCTACAACTTGAAACTCACGTTAATATGTCTACAGAGGTCATACAACTAACTTAAAACACATGACTCTGACCTTCTGTRTGTTCCTTTCATTCTAACTAGATTCAGATGCTAATGTTAAAAAGTCACAGTGTCACATAATATTAGGATGAGAAGAACCTAAAATATTAGTCTAACCTTACACTCAAGCAAAAGCAAAAACAAAATAAAAAACTCCAAAACAACCCCTTGGTATTTCAACCCTCAATCCTGAAAATTCTGTAATAAATTCCAGCCATTCCTATCCTTTTCTGTATTCTAAATCAATTCAATGGAATGATTACTTTCTGTATMATGTTACTCTTGTATATACCACCTCATACCCATCAAACTTTAGTACTTACAGTGATCTTTATTCATTTCCCATTATGCATTATAACCACCTCAAACCAGAAATCAAGGAAAATCTTCCATTTGCTCTCTCTACTTCTCTATCTGGTTATATGCTCACATTATGGTCTCTACAACATTAGTAGAAATTTTAGTTCAGGGATCAGGATTTTTGTCAGACACAGAGATAAAATAAGGTATGTAGAAACTTGGAAATATTCATGGAATCCAAAGTAGATAAAAAGGGAAGTGGAGGGTGGGTAGAAAACGTAGTGGGGACAAAAAGACAAAAGACTGGAGGTCCTGATGAGGTCTCAGAATACACAGTATGGAAACAAGGAAATAAACTCAATGGATATGCAATTATTATGTTAATATTCAGGGGTGAATTAAGTAACTTCAGAGATGAGACAGTTTCAGATGACAAGACTCAAGGAATGACAGTGGATGACCAAAGTTAAGAAGAAGGGGAAAAAAAAAAAAAAAAAAACAACCTGGGAAAGAGAAAAGGTGAAGAAACTAGGAAGCCAGTCAGGTTGTAAATGGGCCACTTAAATTGGACCCTGTGGTCACCCAAACAGTAAAATAGTGGCAGAAGCTGAAGTAAAAGGCAAAATGTCAAAGCCAACATTTTTTGGAAACACTTGATGACAAGAGTCTCAGAGAACCACAGGGAGAAATCATATAAGGTAATAAAGAGAAATGAGAAACTAAACCTACTTCCTGAYCATAAAGTAAACAACAAATGTGAGAATGGGAAATGGCTTCTTTAAAAATTAACCAGCTCTCCAGAAGGAGAAAAAACTGGAAGGATAAAGAGACTGTGGCTTAATTAGAGTGAACCACATCGGATCATTTAGAGGTTTGGTGACTGAAGTCAACAAAGGCCTATCAAACAGAAAGATATTTTCCCAAAATATTTCTATGTACCCATTTATTCATGTTTCTGTTTAAATAATTCCTTATATTTATTCACAGATCTAAAGCATAAAACCTTAAATAAGGTTAATGTTTGTAACTTTGTAATTTAAAAAATAACTAAATAAAGACTGTTATACACAAAAGCACTTGTAATGAAAAACTAAAGAGTTTTGATTGAATAAGTAAATTCTGACTTACCAAGATGGCATAGCCATTTTCATATTCAATGTAACAGGCATAACTGGCCTATAAGGGAGAGGAAAAAAAACAGCAAAATAATAACAACAGAGCACAAAACCTGATAAATTCAACCAATCAAAAATAAATTATGTGAGGCTCACACAAAACTGCTACAATTTTAACATATGTTTTATGTTGTCCTGAATAACTATGATCTCTGCCCTCCAAGTGTGCTCTGAGGACACAGCAGCAGCTGTGAAGGATTAAGCTTGGCAAATAAAAAAATGTCCTCAACACACTTACTTAATACTTACAACTTCTCAGACATGAGAAGGGAAGCCAAGAACCAAGATGGTTGGAAGCATAAAATATGAGACAATTAGAGCAATTTTTTTGCACAGAAATGGCAAACTTCAATTCTCATAACCCAGATCACATTTTTCTTGTCATCTAGTTCTTAGCTATGCACCTGCTTGATTAAGAGACCTCTAAATAAATGTAAGATTTGCCTAAGTGTCCATTATATCCAATTCAAATCTGAGATGAAAAATATGACAGATTATCTGAACTTAGCCAGGTACAAAAGGAAAGAAAAATAAACACATCTCATGGACTATTCTCTTCATTTGCGTAACACATCTCTCTATATATGTCTTTGAATTTTTAAACATCTATATCTAAATTTGATGATATAAACATCCCCCAGGCTGTGAAATAGCCTTACAGCAATTCAATCTGGGGAAAATAACAATATAGCAGAAATTCTGACATCGTAAGAATTCTCGTAAGAATTCTGTTTCTTGTTTGAATAGATTAATAGAAGACACAGCCACACTACACCACAGTGTTCAGATGTAGCTGGAAGTAAAACAGACCCTCTATTTCTGAATAAAAAGAGAAAGAAAATTTTTCTTTCCTAATCTCAGATATTACTCCTTTTCCCATATTCATGTATGTTTCAACTGTACTGCTCTTCCCACTTCTCAGGATGAATTACTAACCTACCCCCATGTACCTCACCCTTCTGTCTTCTSCATAGCTACTTCCTCTCAGCAACCTCTTGACAGGAAACTTGCTAAACTTATTGATTTTTCTGCATTTACTCAGAAGTTGCCACTTCCTTTTTGACAGAATCAGAAATTGAAACCAAATATTTTAAAATTTTGAAAGTCTGTTCTGTCCACAGTACATCACATTGTCTCTGATAAAATTCAAGAGTGTTTTTAACATAATAATTTTTGAAAATCTGGCAGGTAGATCCCCTTCACAGATATCCCTAGAACTTTACATATATTTAAATATCCAAAATAATTTTCCTGACTTTACATTCAGCTGATCTCTAGGAGAGCAATATTTAAATTTCTTAAGTAAAAAAGGAAAAAAAGTTTCATTTTAACCACAAATTCTAGTTTTAAGAAATTCTGAAATTAAGAAATTAGTTTTAAGGAGTTCTAATCTTTAATCTTAAACTGAAGATTTAAGGGATAAAAATTAATTATATTCAAATGCTTTTCTGAAAAAGTAAAGCTATTATAATTGTTCCTCCCCAGATTCTGAACCACAAGCCTAAAGACTAGAAATACTCACGCATGCGGGCAGATATATTTGATATGTGAACTTCTGATACCTGCAAAAGCTTCTGCCCATCCGTGCCTGGTGGAGAAATTATTTGGATAATGCTATTAACTACTGTTTTAAATTGCAAAAAAATAGTACTTAGAAATTTTGTGAGGATAAATGTTAGTTCCTAAAAATACCTTAAATGTGGACCATCAATGCTATTAAAACACCACCATGAATCTAGAAACAACCTAAACAAAGCTGTTATTTAGTCTTTATCTATACATAAAGATTATCTCTCACGATTTCTGAACAGCAATGTATAATCCTTCATATATTTCTACTAGGTTTCCTAATTTTCTGAAAATTCATATGCATATTTTTTACAACCAGATCCCCATAAAGTAGGCAAAACATATAACTCTGGAAAAAGCCTCAGAGGAATAAAGTAAATCACTTTTCTAACATCTCTGCATGCTTACATTATTATAAACAACTTTAACATTTTCCTTATATATATATATGCAAAAATCTATACATGCTTAAAATACAATACAGAAAAACTGAAAAATATAAATCCTAATAATCCTAGCCAGAAATAGCTAATCTTTTGGTATAATTCCTTTTAAGTATATCAAATAAGAAACAGATCATGGTTTTGGCACAAAAGGGACATACTGTTCAGTTTCTTGCTTATTTACACTTGATATTTCATGCTTTTTTTTACATGTTATCTCTACTGAAGGATAAAGGTCTTTGTTTTGTAAAATTTTTTGGAAATGAATCTTGAATACTTTGGCAAGCTATTATTCTGTTTTAATCCACCTCTTCCAAAATGTTAAAGACATAAAAAGATTTAAAATAACAGTATCAACGGTACATAACACCAAGTATGAGCCAGGCTATTTGTACATGTGCAAGTTCATGTGTGTGTGTTGTGGGTATATGTCAGGGTATCTATTTTAAAGATTTTACTCTAAAAGCTACAAAACATGAAATTAAAAGAAATTTAAAAGTTGGATAAATGGAAAGACATCCTGTGTTCAAGGGCTGGAAAACACTATTTTTAATATGGCAGTACTCCTTAAATTAACCTAGAGTCAACACAATCCTTATCAGAATCCCAGATGAGTTTGCAGAAATTGATGCTAATTCAGGATGCACATGGAAACTCAAGAGACCCAGAATAACCAAAACAATCTTGCAAAAGTTGGAGGACTAACAAAAGTTACTAAAAAAATCAACAGCCATAGTACTGGGGCAAAGACAGATAAATAAGCCAATCAAGAATCCAAATATAAACCCTCACATGTACTGTCAATTAAGCACTAGAACAAGCCTGGTGCAGTGGTACATGTCCATAATTCCAGTAACACAGGAGGCTGAGGCAGGAGGATTGCAAGTTCAAAGTTAGCCTTAGCAACTTAGTGAAACCTTGTCTCAAAAAAATAAAATAAAATATTAAAAGCTGAAAATGTAGCTCAGTGGTTTCATAATAGAGTGCCTCTAGGTTCAATCCCTAGTACTGTCTGAAAAACCCAAACCAAACCTACCCCCACAAAACCCATATTAATGGTGAAGGAATAGTCTTTTCAACAAATGGGAAAGTAGATATCTACATGAGATGGAAGGAAGCTAGACTACTACCTCACACCAGACATAAAAATTAACTCAAAATAGGCCAAAGACTTAAATACAGTAGATAAACTATAAAATTCCCAGAAAAAAAAAACATAACTCTTTTGTGACCCAGGACTTGGTAATGTTTTCTTAGGACACTGAAAGCATAATCACAAGAAAAACAACAGATAAAACGAGAAATCATCACAGTGAAAAACTGATGGTCTCCAAAAGACACTATGGAAAAAGTTAAAAGACAATGTACACAATAGGAAAAATATCTGTAAAATCATATTCCCAATAAAGTTTAATATTTGTAATACATTCAGAACTCTTAAAATTCATAAACAAACAAACAAACAAAGACCCATCATTTTACAAACGGCAAAGAACCTGAAGAGACACTTCTTCAAGGATACACATATGGCCCACAATCACAGGAAAAGATGCTTGCTCTTCATTAGTCATGAAGGAAATACAAATCCAAACTACAATGAGATGATGGTTTTAATAAACACTAGGATGGATATAAAATAATTTTCAAAAAAACTTAAGAGTTGGTAAGGATGCAGAGAAATTGGAACCACTATACATTGCTGACAGAAGTGTAAAATGTACAATAGTTTGGTAGTCCCTAAAAAAAATAACATAAGTTTGGTGTGGTAGCAGAGGCCTGTAATCCCAGAGATTCAGAAGGTTGAGGTAGAAGAACTGCAAGTTAGAGGCCAGCCTTAGCAACTTAGCAAGGCCCTAAGCAATTTATAAATTGTGAGACCCTGTCTCAAAATGGCTGAGGATGTACCTCCGTGGTAAAGCACCCCTGAATTTAATTCCCAGTAAAAAAAAAATTAATATGGAATTATTATATGATCCAACAATCCCAATCCTAGGTATAAACTCAAGAAACCTGAAAACAGTTATTCAAACAAATACTTATACATAAATATTCATAATGATACTATTTGCAATAGCTAAAAGGCTAAAGAAGGAAAAAACTCATGTCCACCAACAGTGAGTGGCTAATATATTTCTCATGGAATATTATTTCAGCACACAAAAAAATTACTATAATGATACTTGTCCAAAATGTATAGATCTCAAATATGTCATACTATGTGAAATCAGACACGATATGTCTATATATTATTATATTTATATAAAATATCCAGAATAGACAAATCCGTAGCTATGGGAAGCAAATGAGAGGTTACCAAGGGGCAGACAAAGAACATTAATGGAAAGTGATTACTTAATGGGTTTGAGATGCTTACACTCATGTTTTGAAACTAAACAGTAGTGATGGTTGCACAACATGGCAAATTTTCTAAATGTCATTGACTGTTCATGTTAAAATGGTTCCTTTTTCTGGGTATGGTAGTATACACCTATAATCCCAGTGATTCAGGAGTTCAAGGCCAGCCAGGGCAATCTGTGAGAAAATGTCTCAAAAAAAGACTCAAAATAAATAGAAAGGTGGGGCTGGGGTTATAGCTCAGTTGGTAGAGCACTTACCTAGCATGTGTGAAGCACTGAGTTCGAGCCTCAGCACCACATAAAAATAAAATAAAGGTGTTGTGTCCATCTACTATAAAAAAACATTTTTAAAAATAATAATGAATRAATAAATAAATAAATAGAAAGGGTTGGTGGGGAGAGATGCCCCAATTAAAAGTAAGCTATGGCTATGAACCTGAGTAGACCTTTCTCCAAAGACACATAAATGTCTAACAAGCACATGAAAAGATGCTCAACATCATCAGTCATTAGGAAACGCAAATCAAACCACTGCTGGATATCACATCATACCTACCATATGCCTATAATAAAAAAGACAAGARATGAAGAGGGTGAAGAAAAACCAGAACTGCTGCTGGTAGAAATGTAAATGATGCAGCTTCTTTTCCAAAAAAATTCTGGCAAGTCCTCCAAAGGGAAACATGAGGTCACTGCATAATTCAGCAATCCTACTCCTAGGTCTACACCCAAGAGTACTAAAAGCATATGTCCACATAAAAACTTAAGAACATAAGCACACATGTGTTCTTAGYAGCATTAGTCATCCAGTATGGATGAATCTTAAAATATTAAATGAAAGATGGCAGTTACAAAAGACCGTGTATTATGTAATTCCATTTATATAAAATGTTCAAGTTAGACAAATTTATATAGATAGAAAACAGATTAGTGGCTGCCTATAACTGGGGGCATGGGACTTTTAGGAGTGATAATTTAAAAGTATAGGGTTTKGGGCTGGGGATGTGGCTCAAGTGGTAGTGCGCTCGCCTGGCATGCGTGTGGCCTGGGTTCGATCCTCAGCACCACATACAAATAAAGATATTGTGTCCACCGAAAACTAAAAAATAAATATTAAAAAATTCTCTCTCTCTCTAAAAAAAAAATTTTTTTTAAATATAGGGTTTCTTTTAGGGGGCAATGAAAATGTACTAAAATTGCTGAAGTTGCATAATCTGTGATGAACATATTAGAAGCCACTGAAATAGCTGGGGATGTGCTCAGTGGTAGAAATGCTTGTCCGGCAGGCATGAGGCCTTAGGTTCAATTCAGCAGCACACCTTCACAGCATCCTGGAATCCACTGCATACATTGGCACTGGGCAGTCCAAGCTGCCATCCTGATTTTGTTAACCCAACTAAACAGGTTCCAGCCTGCATGGACACAGGTGAGGGTAGCAGGGAGCTACCCAATTGGGATGTTACTGCCCTTTCACTCAGTTTTGCCTTTTAAAAACAAAAACAAAACAAAAACTTTTTATATTGCATCTGAACACAGAAAGAGGACACATATCTCTCTTCTAACAAATACATATGTGGTAGAACAGTTTCATTTTGATTCTAAGGATTCAATTCATTGGATGATCCTTACTACCTTCAAAGCCTTAGGCTAGGTGCTACAAGGAATAGAGAGAAAGATATGCTCCCTCCTCTCTGTGACTTACAATATATTGAGAATAACAACCATATTGATATATTATCRTCATGACTCAAGTCAATAATAAAGAAAACCTGTGTAATTACATTCTTTAAGTCAATATTGCAGTAAAAACTAGGATGTAATTAATACGGGGCAAAATGACTGCAAAAAGTCTGACTGCACAGTAGGGTTAGACCAGTGCTGATTTCCTAATTTGGGGTGATAAATAAGTGTCCTTGTGCATGGGAAATATATACTGGAGTACTCATTGGTGATGAAAGATCTCATTTGCAGGATGATCTCAAGAATAAAAGACTCATATCATCAGATGAGTGTGTGTATATGTGTGAATACACATATAGAGAACACAGGCACAGCAATATCAGCAAGCACAAGCAACACACAGGACTGAGTGCACAATGGAACACATGCAATAAAAGATTGGGGAAGCTATGTTACAGCACTATGGGATTTCTTGGTATAAAAACACATCTACAAAAAAAAATTCTGAGTTAAACAACAGTATGTATAGTAAAGAATTA